CCTTCCCTCAATTGCATGCTTTGAGAAGCAACAGGTGGGACCTCAAGTAGCTGTCTCTACCTTGCACGTGGGAAACTTAGAATGAATTCCTGACTTGTGGCTTCCCAGAGAGAAGCAGTTAAGGGGAGGTCTTCCCCACCTCCTATGTGTGTATGTATGCATATGCCTCTGATATTTAAAAGATAGAAAAGGGAAATATATATTCACATATATTCAGTAAATTTTGTTAAAATATTTGAAGGTATAGAAAAGTCTATTTCATAGAAGAAGCATGAATGCAGAGTTAAAATTGACAGTGCAATCTAATCTAACCTATATGTTGCTACCTTTTCTTCCTCTCCCTGCCCCGGATAAGAAAATTCAGTCCCTTTCTTTCTTCTTTGAATAGAGAACGTGAGGTTGACCAAGTTGCAAAAAAGAATGAGGAGGAAAAGTATAATAAAATTTTGCTTGCCATCTTGTGTCTTCTTTTCAGAAAGAAGGCCAAGCCTGAGCTGCATCCAGTGCCAGCCATAGGTGCCAGGGCAGATGTGAAGGTAAAACCGCTCTGCAGTGAAGTAGCCACTAGGGAGCTGTCAGAGGCAGCCCAGCATCTCGGTCCCTTGACTCTGTTTCATTCATTCTCATTTCCTCAGGTGAATCATTGCCTGGCTGAATGCAAGGCGGCACTAAGCAGGGAGAAATGGCTGTGGGTCTTCTCACTTTGCTGGTGTTGGCTTTGGATCTCACACTCACACCCCAAACCCAGCTGCATCAGCTCCCAACAAGTGCGATAGATCATGTGGACCCACTTACGCCAAAGAGTTCATTGTAACTTAACCAGAACATACAGATGATGACACCTCGGAGAGATATCATTTGTAAATGACAAACATGGCTGCCTTTGACTGCCTTTTGTACTTCAATGTGGAGCTCCCGCACAATATATTCCATCATATTTGTAGTAGCAAAATTTGGAAACTCTAATTTTCCACCCAGGAAAAAACACTGGAATCACTAATGGTGCACCATTTGTGTATTAATATAATATAGACAAATAAGCTTTGGGGGAAATTTCAATGATACGGGCTATCCTAATGCATAATTTTATATTTTTTTAAGGCAGACTGTGAAGCAAAATAAAGGGAGAAATTTCCAAATTTGAAAAAGAGTAGGATGTACTGGAAAACCCCACCCCAAAATGTTAGCAAAACTTGTCTTGCAATTACCTGCTTTTTAATATTCTATAACTTTTGTAATTTTCTGTACTAAACATGATTACTCTTACAGGAATGAAAATATAGCATTATGTAAAGATACTGAGGTTATTACTGCTAATCATTTGTTTTCCTTCTCATATAGCAGATGAACAATGGCTGTATGCCTGTATTTACAACCCAGTTTTGAAGGACCTAGGGCAATTCTCTGAACTCATCCTCATTTTTTTTTATCCTACAAGAAAGAATAATGCAAGAGATGGAAATTTCATTAGGAAGTTGTAATGACTGAGATGGTGCTTAGTCCAGTATTGGTACAGATGAAGCAATCTATTATAGTATTAAATGCAAACTATATAAGGAGTTACCTAATTCTAGCCTTGGCCTCTTCAATCTGTTCTCCAGATCTTTGATTTCATCTTGTTTTCTTCCATCTGTTTCTGTATAAGCAGTTGAATAAGATTTGACTTTGCTTCATTTTGATACAAAAATTGGAGATAAATGAACCGTAGACCTTACTGGAAAATGGATTCCCAAGGATGGAAACTGAAAGGAAGGGGGAGTGGAAAATGAAGGAAGAAAAAGCAAGAAAGCATGATACAAGTGGGAGAAAACGATAACCCCCTGTCTGTCAGAGTGAAGGGTTTTGTTGTCTGTCTTCTGGAGTTACAAAGCAGGAGAGATGGGGCTGAATTCCATCAGAGACAGAGGACCCTGATTCTGTGTCCTCAGGAGGAATGCGTCTGGGAAAAATTGAAATGTTCTTGCTTGGGCCATCCAACTCAAGTCATCACTAACACATCCTGGTGGACAGAGAAAGCAAATAAGTTTGAGTCAAGCATCATGAACCAGGGCAAAAACTTCATAATTTAAAACTCTTTCATAGTGCTCTTAGCAGACTTAACTCCAGCAGGAAAGTCATAGCAACAGAATCCCTTCAGAACAACTTGAGAGCTCCCGTGCCAAGGCCATCTGTACAGATTCTGACCATGATTGAGTTTACCAGCCATACTCATCCCTTCTGCTGTCCTGCCACATGCTGTAAGAGTCTAGTCCCTTTGCACATGGCCAAAGGAGCCAGATACTATCTATCAGATTTGCTGGAACACATCAAGAGAAGCTCTATAACAATTTTCTGAAAGACAGGCTTTAGAGAGAGTCAAAATAGAAGCCATCTTGAGGCTCTGTGTGCGTGTGTGCATGCACGTGTACATTTATGATCTAAAAATTGAGTTTTTTTTAAAAAAAATGTTTTTCTAGTAACAAGTCTGCCAAAACCAGGCTGAATTATAATTCTGACACTGTAGGGTTTGAGTGCTATAATTGTTAACCATTTTGCAGGTGAATAGATGCTTTGTGAGATAATTTTGCTTTGTTCACTTTTTTGTTGTCCACAGTACATACAACATTGGTTGGTATTCAGTTGGTGCTCAGTAAGTATTTTTTTTTTTTAAGATTTACTGTTTTTATTGGAAAATCGGATATACAGAGAGGAGGCAAGACAGGAACATCTTCTGTCTGCTGGTTTACTCCCCAAGCAGCCACAGCTGAGCTTCTTCTGAGTTTCCCACATGGGTGCAGGGTCCCAAGGCTTTGGGCTGCCCTCGACTGCATTCCCAGGCCAGAAGCAGGGAGCTGGATGGGAAGTAGAGCTGCCGGGATATGATCTGGCACCTGTATGGGATCCCAGGGTGTGCAAGGCGAGGACGTTGCCATATCGTGCTGAACCCAATGAATATTTTTAAATTAATGAATGAACTTCATATTCGTTCTAATAATGATTGAACTGTGTGCAGGATTATGCATTTACTTAAGTTTATGCAGGAATATGAAGATTATACCCAGAATGACCTAACTTCAAAGGCTGAGTTCTCAACCTGTGCCTCCAGTTAACCTCTTAACCCATAGCTTCACTAGTCTGAGGAGAAGCATGGCCTTGCTGGTGGAGGCTTTTTCCTGTAAAGCACTTAAAGGTATTATGTCATTGGAAATAATTAGACTTAGAGTGATCTCTCCAAGGTTGGTGTTTAGACATTACTGGCAACCCAGGGCTTTCCTGATTTACTCGTTGGCTGTGAAACCTGGATCCTTCTTGATGACATAATTCTCCAGGCCTTCAATTACATGGAGTAGTCATTGGCTACTTGGCAAGCATCTCTAGGTACAAACAGACATATCACTAGAGGTAAGCTTGAGGGCTTTGAAAGTCTCAAAGAGTGGTGATTAAAGAAGTTTCAGCTAAGAAATTATTAAGATTAGGGCTTTACGGATTAAATGTGAAGTCCATAGCTTTTGGGCTCTCTAAACTTTCTATGGTGAATATATTGAACTTGCATTCTTCTGTGTCATGAACATCAAGTACTCTTGAGTTTGTCAAAAAGAATTAAATGGAAAAGAATTTTAAAAAAAGATAGACAATTTCAGTTTAAGCAGTTGTTGGGTGTGAAGTGGACACCACAAGTCTGGGACAAAGGTGGAGATGAGCCTCATCTCTGACAGACCACAGGGACGGCAAATGCCTAAGTAGAAGCCATGTGACAGGCCCCACATTTCAGCTCCAGCTCCACCTACACACTAGCAGTGTGACATTAGGCAAAATCACTCAATTTCAGGAAGGACATTTAGCCTAGCAGTTGAGACACCACTTGGGATGTCTGCATTCAATACTCAAGTGCTTGTGTCTAAGTCCTGTTCTTCTTCCGATTCCAGCTTCCTGTCAGTGCATATCCTGAGAGACCATAGGTGATAACTGAAGTAGTTAGATCTCTGCCACCCACATGGAGGACTCAGATTACATTCCATGCTTCAATCTGGCCCAGTTCTGGCATTGTAGCCATACATATTTGATAGTAAACTGGAGGATGAGAGAGATTTCTCTTTGTCTCTCATTTTGTTGTCTGCCTTATATATTTTTTTAAAAAATTATTCAGTGTCTTTGATGCCAGCATCTCATTTTTCAAAGTGTCAAGGACTGCTCATAACTTTCAACTCTCGCATAGTTTCTTGGTGAGGGCTGAGAGCGCCAGGTAAACACCTGGTATAGGGTTTGAATGATCGGTAACATCATTGGGAGATGATTATTATGGAAAAAGATTTAAAAGGATTCATTGGTGAATAAACCCTTCTATCCTTGTTTAGCTTTGTGAAAAGCTAATGTGATTTTGAAAGCCTCTTGGAGAACTACCCATGATTATAAATTGTTGCCTTGAAAATAACTTTGCTGACTTTGCAATAAGTGCACGTCTGTGAGAAACAATTTAGTGGCTAAGAGCATGAGTCCAGGGAGACACACTGACAGGATCTACCTGTGTTGTATGACTTTGGTCAAGTTACTAAGTCTCTCTGTTTTTCCAGGTTCATTTCTGAAAGGGGGTGTTAATGAAGATTAAATAATTTGGGGGCCCGGCGTGGTGGCGCAGTGGTTAAGGTCCTCACCTTGCACGCCCGGGATCCCATATGGCGCCGGTTCTATCCCGGCAGCCCCGCTTCCCTTCCAGCTCCCTGCCTGTGGCCCGGGAAAGCAGTCGAGGACGGCCCAAAGCTTTCGGACCTGGCACCCGTGTGGGAGACCTGAAAGAGGCTCCTGGCTTCGGATCGGCATAGCATTGGCCGTTGCGCTCACTTGGGGAGTGAATCATCGGATGGAAGATCTTCCTCTCTGTCTCTCCTCTCTGTATAGCTGCCTTTCTAATAAAAAATAATAAAAATAAATCTTTAAAAAAAAGATTAAATAATTTGGTATGTATAGAAGTGCCAACACAGTGTAAGAAATGTTTTCAGCATCACTCTTTCATTTTCTTTCAGGGATCTTCTCAATTGGAAGAATGGAACATAAGTACAAACGTTACATGGTCAGATGTGGGCATTGGGGTTGGAAATCTGCCACCTGCAACACTGGCATTCTTTATGGATGCCAACTGAATTCTCAGCTTCTTCACCTTCGATACAACTCCTTGCCGATGGTCCAGGAGAAGCAGTGAAGATGGTCCAAACACCGGAGCTCATGCAGTCATGTTGGAATCCTACAAGATTCTGGCTTTGGTTTAGGCCTGGCCCAACACTGGCCATTCCAGCCATCTGTTGAGTGAACTTGTGGATGGAAGATCTCTCTCACTCTCTACCTTTCTCTCTCCCTCCCTCTCTATAACTCTGCCTTTCAAGTGAATAAAATAAATCATTCACAAAAGAATATGGGTGATGATATAGGGAGGTGCCTACATCTGGGCGTGATTGAAAGAAGTCAGACACTTGAAAGTGGGAAAGGTTTCACAAAACTTGAACAATAGAGTTCTCAAAAGAATGTACTCCAGGCAAAACAAAACAAAACAAAACCTATGCATTGGCTTATGAGACTTAGATTAACCCATTGGGGAGTAATGGACTATTTTATAACTCTGGTGAAGTGGGTGACAAATATCAGACTGGATCTCCAGAGTGTAAGACTGGCTGCCCTGAACATGAGTTGGCAGGCAGAGAGCAGAGCAGAGCCCTAAGGAAAGCATGGGGGATGGAGGGAAGTAAGGCTGTTTCCACTGAGCAGGTGTGTGTGTGTGGCTTTAGTGCCATCTACTCTAGGAGGTAAGAGCTGTCCTAGGAGAGAAGGGAATTGAGCTCCAACTAAAGTTGAGTCCTTCTGCCAGTTTTCAGTAAGGACACTCATAGTCTAGGTTAAGTTTGTTATGCCTTTTCAGAAAATATCTTTCTCCTATTTTGAGCTCAAGTCCATTATTTGTGAAAAGAGCATCCAGATTTATATACTCAGGCTCTTTCCTGTGCCCATCAAAGTATCTGCAACCTGTTTCCCTTCCCTTCAGGGTCTGAAGAGGTGACCAAGTTATCTCATCAGTGCTAACCAAAGGATAAAGTATTAATCCTCAATCCTCTTTCCCAATTTCAATACTGCATCTGATTCACATATACATGCAGAAATTAGGGCAGACATAAGCTTCTCTGTTTTACAGATTAGCCCAGATAAATGACTTGCCTAAGTTCTGTTGTCTTTTGCAAAAATCTAAATTTCAGGCCACAGCTTTTGCTCCCAAACCCCATATACTTGTCCCTACATTTTCTTATTTTAGGAAATAAAAAACAATACATAGGTTTTAGTTATTGATGAAGGCCGGTGAGGAATACAGCATGGAAGAGGGACCTTCACAGGATCTTCAGAACTCTTGTCAAGCACTTGTGTAGCTAATCTGCCTACAGTTAAAGAGATTGTCTGGTTGTCAATGTTTTATGAGACCAGGGGGAATGATAAAGGACCGGGACAAGGATGAGGCAAGTAAGACGTGTGAAAGATTTCAGTAGTCACCCACCCTCAGGATTGTGCAAGACTTTCATAGGTCCTATAAAATCATTTAGGTCATAGAAGTAAAACTCAAAGGGTATATGTACTGAAATACATACACCCCCTATGGGCTATGTTAGTGGTAGGAAGAATGTGAAAAAAAGAAACAATCAGGTGAACAGAAACACCCTAATGGTCACCGCTGTTTCACTTAGCACCTAGACATCCTTGCTCAGTGCTTGCTTCTATAATTGACAACTTTAGCAATCACACTCTCAAAAAACATGTTTTTGCACTTACTCTTACATACTAATGTCCTCCAAAGTAAACTTTTACATGAAGGGAAAACATATATATGTAATTGCCTTCTGATGGAAACAGGAAAGCCAGCACTAAAAAAGTCGCTGTTTTGAAAGCCAAAGTAGATTCTAGAGATAATCTATTTCAAGTTGGATTTGGATTTCTGTCACTTTTGACCAAATACTCGCAATTACTGTACCCATGCTCCCAAGCTGCTCTCATCAATCAAAACTTACTTGTCCTGTTTCCCTTTCTTCAGTGTCTAGAGACATATCAGAAAATTGAAGCTGATGGGACTTCAGTGAACTTCTCAAGGTCATATGGCTTGTTAGTGAAAAAGCTTGGATTGGAATTCAGACCTAAGAGCAAGTAATATTTGCTCCATGGCACTGTGAGCTCTGTACTGAGTACTTGACAAGAGTTACTGTCCAGAAGTTTAGAGAAATTCTTGTTACTATATATATACATACATATATAGTACTTTGAATTTTTTGAGCAGTTTTTCATTTATTACTTCCAACTCATAAAAATGATGTGATTAAATTACAACTAGGACCAGGAAAAAATTTGTGATTTATCTGAAGGAATCCACAAGGTGAGAACACGGCTATGGTTTTCCTCCTCCAGTGTTATTATTTACGACCAGATTCTAGGACAAACTGAACAAATGGAAAAGTTACTTATTTGTTTAATACCCACCCTACCATGCCCTGTATTATGTATCTATTGCTTTATAACAGATTACCCTCAATACTTCACTTTTAAATAATGTTTATTATTCCACAGTTGTGGTGGGTGAGCGCCACTTAACTGGGTACCTCTGGCTTATGGTGCCAAGAAGTCTAGGGTACGAGTTCATCTTAGGGCTCCACTGAGAATGATTGACAGGCTTCCATTCCTTATGTGTTATTGGGCTGAAAGTCTCAGTTACTCACTGGCTGCTAGCCAGAAATCCCCTCAGTTACCAAATAGTTTCTCCATAGGGCTGCTTATAATGGGTGCATGGTGAGAGGATGGCCCAACAGAAGCCACGGTACTTCGTGAAACCCAGTTTCAGAAGTGACAAACTTACTATGCCATGTTATTTTCATTACAAGTGTGCCAAAAGTTCAAGCCCACAAAAGGACAGGATTATGAAAGGGTGAGAATATCAAGAGATAGAAGTCATCAGGGCCATTTTAGAGGTTCCTAACACATGCTCCAAATTAAAATTACACATTCAAGACGCCTTAGGAAAAGCAGAGTTAAGCCTATAATCCTCTGTTTTTAAGAAAAAAAAAAAGGTTGCTATTGTTAGCAAAAACGTGTTATTCATACAAAAAATTTGTAAATGCCAGCTTGTTTGGTTTTTGGAAGCCATTGTGTAAAGTGGACACATATCCCAGAGGGATAGGGCTGTGAGTCTGCCATCCAGCTCTCTCTTTTGAGCATGCTAATGTCATAGTTGGATTTTTTTTCCCCATATGAACTGAAAGTCTTGCCTTCCAGAAAGCAGTGAATGACACTGCCTGCATGTCAGAAATTGCTACTGACATTTCAATTTTGCTTATTTTTTTCTTTCTTTGATAGTATTATAGAGAAAATTTACATTTGAATAAAAAGCAAATAGTGCATGTCAGAGTAAGCATCAGGGAATGTCAAATTGTTTTTTTCCAATTACAACTCTATTTCAAATAGGGTAATGCAATTAAAGGATAATTACTAGCAGCACAAAGCCAAGGTTACGATCAGAAATGGTTACCCTTTCGCTTTAAGTCCTGTCTTGCTAAATAAAATATTCCTGAGGGGCAAGTTAGTGTTTAGAAATAGAATGCACTCGTCCAGGAGCGACCAAACACTGGGCAATGTTGACCACAACATGTATTTATGCATCAATCCAAGTGTTTAAAGAGATGAAAAGATGCTAAAGGTAGGTTGCATTTTCTTTGGCTTTATCACTTCTGATTAATAATGGGATAAATTAGCTGTGTGTTGCAATATTAATTAACAATATGTTAGCTGCATGTTATTGCCAATAACATAACAAGCCCTGAAAGAGTAGTCTAACTAAACTGCTGACGCGGGTTTTTCTGTAAGCTGAGCTATAGTTTGATTTCTCATTTGTCCGAGTGAAGCATCAGCAACTGAGTAAAACCAATTACCTCAAACCCACCAAGCCCTCGGCAGCAACTCAGTGCATCTACGCTTTGCCCAAATGTTATTACTTTCAAATTAAAGCATGGTCTGAGATGAGACATCAAAGAATTTCTACTACTGGAAATAATTAAATATGGCAGTCCAGTTGTGTAACGCTTTGTGGGGCCAACTGGAAAGCAAGATTTGTTCCAACTTGGAAACATCTTGAGTCCATGGCTATGAAGTTCTGAAAGGCCAGCAAGGAAACTCAGATGGGGAGTAGGAAAAAGGGGAAACATTTCCTGATTGCTTCAAGTAAAAGAGTTGTGGGAGAATTTTACACTATAATGTTTGTGTTTTTTTAGGTGATGTCCTGAGTTTAAGGTGGGGCTTGCTGAAGAAAAAAGACTTAGATCAAATGTGAAAAATAATAAAGGGGCTATCGTAACAGCAACTACCTCATCTCTCTATGAAGTGAAAAACTCTATAGCAATAGAGTTCTTCGAGTAAAGAGAAGCCACTGAGTGAGCACATGATGAGAGATCTTAAAACAAGCAGGACAGAGCGTGTTACAGGTATCTGCACAAAATTCCATTCATATAACTCATGGGGGGGGCGCTAATTTTCAACTTTTCATTGAAACTTGATATATGCATGGATGTCAAAATATCTTCTACCAAAATAAACATACCTTTTAATTCCATTTTCCATGAACTATTTTTTAAAGATTGATTTTATTTTTATTGGAAAATCAGATATACAGAAAGGAGGCAAGACAGAGAGATCTTCCGTCTGTTGATTCACTCCCCAAGCAGTCACAACGGCCGGAGCTGCGCCGATCTAAAGCCAGGAGCCAAGAGCCTCTTCTAGGCCTTCCATAAGGGTATAGGGTCCCAAGGCTTTGGGCAGTTCTCAACTGCTTTCCTAGGCCACAAGCAGGGAGCTGGCTGGGAAGCAGGACTGCTGGGATTAGAACTGGTGCCTATATGGGATCCTGGTGTGTGCAAGCTGAGGACTTTAGTCCCTAGGCCATTGCACCAGGCCTTCCATGAACTTTTGAAGTACTCTTGTTCTCAGTTTTCACCACAGTCCTTCCTTTTCCAGCCTCCCTTTCTTTCTCTTTTCTCACCACTTCCTCACTCTACTCTACACTTGCATTTTATACCCTTATTTAAATTCTTTCTTGGCAATTAACCACTATCTGAAATGACATTTTGGATAATTTATTCCTCCATTTATTTGTATTTCCACTCAGTTGTAAATCCCCTGAGGACATTCCTACCCTTCATAACTCCAGGCGAAGTTTCTGTTGATACACTGCAAAATAACACCTGCTGTACAGTAAACACAAGATCAGTTGCATCAAGGAATCAATCTCTTCAGTGAACTTAACATTTAACAAATACCCAAATGTCGAAATGCAAAGGATTCAAACATGATGCCAATCTACTATTTACTGGAGGTGTCTCAATGAACTCAAAGC